GGATTCCTAACCGTTTAGTCGGTTTATAAACATCGATAAATCCTGGGAGAAGAAGGCGACGGCAGTGAGAACGTCAAACGAAACGAGCCCAACAAGTAAATCAAAAACAACAAATTTTGCACGTGTAGCGCGCTTTTCCTCACAACCTGTACCAGGTACGAACTCGACATTAAATTTCCTTTTGCGACGTTGTTTATTAAGAGAATATTAAGAGAATTGAAATAAACGCCAAAAATTTTTTTTTAAAAAGGGTGCATTCATTTTGATGGCTAGAGACGTTTTTATTGCTCTCACCGTCGTCGTTGCTAAGGCGCCCTATATTCATGAATGTGACAGTTCCATTTTGGTTCTTCTGCAAACGCCGAACGCGGAAAAGTGACCGGATTCGTTGAACAAATTGTTTAGAGCGATTTTCGTATCACTTTGAAATGAAAACGCGCGAACAAAACAGAAACAACAAACGAACGGAAATAAAGCGATTTGATTGGTCTATCGAACGTATACAAACGCGCGTGGCTTTCGGTTGGTTAAGCGAACGCTCGGGTAAAAAAACTTCATGCCAGAGAACTTTCTAGAAATCAACCGATACTTCGCTTTGACGTCATACTGCAACACGATTGGCCAATCGAACAATGCCTTCTCCATATTAGAGTTTTCTTTGGGGGGAAAACGAAGAGGCTATGTTTTGATCTTTTCATCCATTGGCTGAAAAAAAAAAATCGAACACTTACCGAAACTATTTTTAAAAGGTCATATGAAAATCGCTCTAACCTACAAAACATTGCGAATTTAGAAGGCATCGGATTCACTTTAGATTTAGGATTCAAAATGTATAGAGACTTGACCAAATCGGCACCTTCCAATTCGCATTCACGCCCTACATTTTCTTAAAAACGACAAAACGAACCCAATAACAAAATTATCCGGATTCTTGACGAATCCGGAAAAACTGTATGTAGCCTTATTGTATGATAGATAATTGACGTGCATCAGTCAATGACAAAGTATTTTACAAGTTGCTACTGTCATTTCGTATACAGTAGGCTTACCACGTAATTTAACAAGTTTTTTGGGGAGGGGATGGGGGGTTGGGGGCAAAGCAATTTGGAGAATTGTGCATACCTCTAAAAAAGTCCTGGCTACGCCCCTGCCTGAACGTTCATAGAAAATCTAACTGTTTCACAAAAAAAGTTGAATGATCGTGTTAATAATACATTATGTGTTCATTTTTCTTTGCTTTGAGAGTATAGTTATGACTTGCTTGTCTTGCATTTGTTTGACGTGTTGGTTTCATTCATGTTGCAGGGCAAAGCTCCTGCGTTATGTACCCTCCACCAAAGAATGGCTCTTGACATGCAAGCAGCCGTCCGAACTGCTAATTTGCTCAGTCAAGTGTGAAGAAGGCTTTGTCTTTGAGTTCCGTCCTCCCATGATTTATTACTGCCAAGGAGGAGAGTGGGGATTATATTCACTTTTTTCCGGGTCAAAGAAAAACTTCCATGGCCAAATTGCAAAGTAAGTGCGATAAATTTTATGCAAAGCTGGGCGGATATCAAATTTTAATATTACCAAAATTTTTATTTATTCTTCAAAGAAAAAAACGGTAAACCGGCGTAATTCATGGATGAGGGGTTTTCATTTCATTTTTTTTTTACTTTACTTCACTGGAGACTGTGAAGATCCCATCACAAAAGCAGAAATCGCAGTACCAACTTGGTTTTGTGAAAACAAACACTACGAGTGTTGCTAATACTGGAAGCACGGATGGCGCACGCGTAGTGGTGAGTTACGTGCCTCCCACCAATGTGGCCTGGGCTCAAATCCCGCCTTCGGCCTCTGGTTCCGCATTCTCTCTTGCTTAGATTCATAATTAGAAAAANGGCCAAATTGCAAAGTAAGTGCGATCAATTTTATGCAAAGCTGGGCGGATATCAAATTTTAATATTACCAAAATTTTTATTTATTCTTCAAAGAAAAAAACGGTAAACCGGCGTAATTCATGGATGAGGGGTTTTCATTTCATTTTTTTTTTACTTTACTTCACTGGAGACTGTGAAGATCCCATCACAAAAGCAGAAATCGCAGTACCAACTTGGTTTTGTGAAAACAAACACTACGAGTGTTGCTAATACTGGAAGCACGGATGGCGCACGCGTAGTGGTGAGTTACGTGCCTCCCACCAATGTGGCCTGGGCTCAAATCCCGCCTTCGGCCTCTGGTTCCGCATTCTCTCTTGCTTAGATTCATAATTAGAAAAAGTAACCCTCGGATGTTTTCCTTAGACCATCAAACATCAGCACTTGACGTTTTCAGTATCCTTCGTTTATCCTTCCTTGAGAAGTTCAGTGATAATCAGCAGATGCTATGGTTACGAGCTATGACGTCATAAGTAGTAGGCGGTCAAGCCATATCTGAATGAAAATTCATGTTTTGCAACTTGTTTTAAAGATAAAAGCAAAGATTGTGGATAAAATGAAGCCAAGCACTTAAGTATATGTCAAAGTTAAATTCTTATACCTAGGAGCAAAGATTCCTCATACTCATTAATATCACGTTTTAAGGTTTTTAATATAATTCGCTGACTCGATTTATTTTGATTTTTTACAGAAAGCTTAGGCAATGAAACAAGGTGCCTCAGAATAGAGTCCACCACAATCAAGACAGTCAAGAAAATTTCTTGTGTTAACTAAGAATAGTTGGATAGAATAAACGGAATAAAATATGGGCAATACAAGCTATAATTAAATTAACCCAAATATAGAGCGTTTATTTGGGCAATAGGGACTTAAAGATACAACGACGCGACGGCAACTAGAACGTCGCTAAAAAAGTGAATTAGCGTTCTTTCAGTCTTTATCGCGATTATTCCAGTGCCCACTTGCATTTGTCAAATGTAGGCCAACCCTCTTGAAGCTCAATTCCTAGGGAGACATTGAATTCTGCAAAGCTATCATCGTACTACGTGAAAATGGACTTTGCAAGACATCAACACGACACTGAAAGAACCGAAAACAGGTAGAGGAGGGGTTGTAGCCGTCGACAGCTGTTTTAGACAAAACCAACCTTGTAGGAAGATGGAGAAAGTGAAACCATACAAAATTTACAGCATTTCGGGTCTATTAAATACAACTACGGCCCCAAAGTATAAAGTAAATTGATGAACTGCAAAAGAACGCGAACCAGGGTATGTTTTTTGGGCCTTTTTGGTCTGAAAACGGGGATACACTTTGCCCATTTTGGTCTGGAACTGAGGGTATGGTTTTCGAGGAAACTACGGGAGCGTTCATGTAGGAACGTATTTATCGTCTCAAATCCAAATGAAAAAGAAAGAAAGAAAAAGATGCGAATTCGAAATGCATTGAAGAAAATTTTTTGTTTGCGCTCTAATCTAAGTAATTATAATTTCATAATTTCTGCTTAAAGGCCAGGTCTGAAAACGGGTGAGAAAAATGACTTTTTTTGGTCTGATTCAAATAGGGTCAGGATTTGGAGAACCGAATTGCAGACCCCACCAAGAAAACCCAGGAGTGTTCCCCCCGCCCCGCTCCCCCCCCCTCCTTCCCCCGGGAGCGAATATGCCGCAGAACGTCGGATCTATTAAGAGAGGACCTGATCAGCAAAAATATTCAAAGTAGACATGTTGAAGTCTGCAAAGTTGATCGTACTACTTGAGAATTAACTTAACAAGATATCAACACGACACCGAAATAATCCAAAACAGAGCGGGGTTGTAGCCGACGACAGCTGTTTCGTCATGAATAGTGGCTCATCGGACGGCGTAACAAACGGAAAAGCTCTGCTAAAAAAACACCCGCTCACTCTGATTTAAGCCCAGACACTGAACTCCAACGCCCACAGAATCACGCCATATCGCGTATCCTAGCCTGTGAGCTGAAGCTCTCCCGGGCGCTCTGGTGGCGGGGCGGGAAAAGGAAGGAGAGCTTACAACTACGTCTCTGGAATTTGAATATCTGCATCGAAAGAGTCGATGCGAAATGCCGATTGACATTGGCATTCTTCTTTCAAATCCAAACATGAATTGTCTCATAAGTGGTGTACACTATCTAAAAAGATCAGTTGTAGCTTTTGTTTAAGTAGCAATTATTGGATTAGCCTGCGAAGCGCAGACATATTTCCGGTCGTCGCTTCTCTCCCTCCGAAAATTTTCGGAGGGAGGGAAGCAAAAAAGAAGGAAATACGTCTGCGCTTCGCAGGCTATTATTGGATGAGGTGCGTATGACATCAATAATTACGCAGATAGAGGATTTTGCTAACTGCCGAGGCCGAAAAACAGATATTCTTTCATAAAGCAGTTGGCATTTGTTCAGTAATCATTTGTATTCGGTAAAAATCTTCCAAATTTGATCATCGCTGGATGGTTTTGAAGAATTAGCCCGGGGATTTAAGACAACCAAAAACAGAGAAATATAATTTAGTGATATTCCTGAATTGCCCATTTTGTTCCTGGCTGTCAATAATGAATTTGGCTGTTAATGAGTTAGGTCCATCAAAGCGAGGGGATATTTCACCTAATCTCAGGATAATGGCTGTTAACTGTCGTTATCGTGTGAATTTCACGACTGCTATCGTCCCATATTGTTTGATCAACTGATAACGATATTTGCACCCGTAATATAACTGAAATATAACTTACCGCAACCCCTGGACGGCGTTTTCCTCCGTGCCTGTAAATATATCGGTTATTCAGTCTCAGTTTTCAGTTGCATTTTTGCTTCTCTCGATCTGCATGATTTTCATTGGCCATATTTTAGGAATAAGTAAAGCAAAGCACGTATTCTTTAGCTGTGAACAGCTGCATAAATACCTTAAGAGTTTAACTTAAAATATAATTTCTCATTTAAATTCTGATATACCAAACTGTCAAAAGCGAGATTGTTTGATTATATTGGAAAGTCGTCGGTACTTAGTTCACCAAAACAGTTAACGGTTCGTCAGGATACAAACACTGGTCGAGCGCAGCCGAACTAAAGATCACAACCATGAGGGCCACTCTGCTCAGTTTTGCTGTTTTCTTTGTGTTGGTTGATCAGTTTGCTCTTTCAAACGCAGGTACCATATTGTTCCTTAAATACTCCTGTAAAAACACTCATGAAATATGGAATTCAAGCACAAAAGTATTTCATTGAGTCATTCTGTTGCAGCGCCAGGCAAACTGGATTGCCCTTCACCGCACATTCTCTTTTATAAGAAAGTCTAATTTTTGGGCTGAGGCTGAACTAGCTTTATTATTTATTCATTTATCTTTTTTGCGATTATAACGCCCTGATCAAGTTCTTATTTCATTCTGGAACGGCTGTTATATAATTAATAAGAACTGTTAAAAAATTGAACTGAGTTTCCTTTCATAAATTTTTATTTTTGAAGTTTTTGACGTTTAAGTATACTGATTAAGTTCGAGTACAAACTAAGTTGTTCTCCAGTGTATCATGCAATAATAAAAGAATAATCAATTTTAGATCAATTTTAATTTATTTCTTTTACCTTTACTTATGCTACTCGCCAAAAAAAACAAATGAGCAAAATACAAGACGTTTATAACTGACTCTCTCTACCTAGGAATATTCTTATTATGTTCTTAAAATTATATTTGGTTAACCAACGTTTTAAAAAAAAAGTTGTTTTAGTGTAAAAAAAAAAAAACTGTATACCTGAGTTCCTTTGAGAGTACGCGCGCGACTGACACGTCATTGAAAAACCGCATTTTTTTTCACCATAAAAAAGGCGACTGATCGTGTAAATAATACATTGTGTTTCCTTTTTTCTTTGTAAAGTTGTTGAGACTTCTTTAACTTGCTTGTCTTACCATCTATTTATTTTGCAGGGAACTGCACTCTGTACTCTCCACCAAAGAATGGCGCTTTGGTGTGCAACTACATTGGATCGGACCCGACTTGCCAAGTTCAATGTAAACAAGGCTATGATTTTGAGTTCACTCCTCCCCTTGTTTATTACTGCTCTGAGGGAGAATGGAAATTTTTGTCATTTTTTTACTATGAAGCAAGATTTCCATGGCCAAACTGCAAAAGTAAGTGTGACTAATTTCTCGTATTCCGTATCTACCGCTTATAAGCCTTAGCCTTAGGCATTAGCGTTAGGAGTGTCAGGAGGGCTTGTAACTAAAGGGTTTATTTTCGAGGGCGCCTTTAACCGGAATAGAAAAAATGCTTCGAAGCAAACTACCACAATGCTTTAATTTGTAATGGTTTCTATTCCACTTCCAAAACTTCATAATAAATCAAATTCATTTCAATGCAAGCTAGAGGGGAGGGAGGCTTATATCCAGGGCGCTAATAATCGGATGTATTTTTATGTTATTTTTTTACATGTAGATGGGCCTACTAGAGACCGGGGAAGGGGGGGGGGCTTTAAAACAGCAGAGATATAAGCGTTTTAAAAGATGTAGCACAAGCAAAATTTTGCCTTATGACTTTATTCATAGATACGTGTCCCTAGCGGTCTTAAGGACATTGAGTCCTTGGAAAAAGTACAAAGTAGAGCCTCACGGTTCGGGTTTGCCTTAAAAGCAAAAGTGTGGTGAAATGAACTACCAAGTCTGCTATCGCTTACTGAATTGGCAAACTCTGGAGAAACTTAGAGAGTTCTTATCTCTAGTTCAGTGCTACAAGATAGTTTTTGGAATAGACAGCCTTTCTTTTTTCGGACTTTTTCGAGCCCACCAATGCAAGTGTAGCAAACAAGAGCCAATCACGATTATAAACTTCATGTCAAAGTTTTCACTCTATATTGCTACAAGTATTGCGTACGGATCGTTAATGTGTGGAATAACTTACCTAAAGAATCGAAGTTGTACATGCAGGATCGTTGACTTTATATATTTCGCACCAAATTGAGGATTTTTATGCCGTGAATATTAACTAACATAATTGTAAGCAGTTACGACTATGATATGTAAATAATTGTTTAGATTCTAGTTTTTAGATTTTACATTTTTTATCTTTTACTTTGGGGAGTCACTTACATAGGGTTAACCTCAATAGTCTCCCCTTTTGAAAAGTATTTCCTTTTTCTATCTTATCTCTTGAATAAAGTATAGTCAGTATATTTAGCAATTAATGAATGAGGCTGAGTAGGATATGAAGAATTATGCAGATCGAGGAGGGTGTTATCACCTCCGAGATATGCATAATTTTTTTTAGTATATAGCAAATTTCGAGAAAGGTTGTCGGAAAAAATGTGCACGCGACAATCCCGAAAGGTAATATGGGATATGATCACCTAATTTTGTTGCTTTCTTTTAGCACTCGCAAACATACGTCCATGCATGGCCTCTCGTGTAAATACCCACCACTAGCCACCTCCACTTCGGTGAATAATTGTTATATATCCTACGAAAGCCGAATTCATTACTTGCTTAATTATTCATTCAAAATACCGTAATTCCTAGTTTAAGAACAAGCTAAAACATGCTTACCTTCGTAGATGTTAAGTTCACCTCGATAGAGCATGTTCAGAAGATAAAAGGCTGTTTAGGTCTGCAAGTATACTCCAAATGGCAGATGTTGTCTGTCGAGTTGTCTTCTTGCTAAGTTTCTAGACAATAGTTCGTCGTGAAACGAGTAAAATGTTCCGCCGACTGTTCAGCTAGCAATTTTTCTTTTCACAGCCAAAACACAACTCAACCTCGTAACACAGATCTACTCGGTTAACGGTGCATTAACCTGCAACTGCGCTGCAATTTTGACTTCATCGGTTGATTAATCGCAAAATTCTTCCAAATTTGGTCAACAGTAGCTGGTTATGGGTGTGCTTTTAGCCAATCAAAAACAGAGAAATATTTTGAATGAATAATAATATTTGTTATTATAATATGACCAAAAATATTA